GCAAATTTTAGCGAATATCTTTTCTCTAATTTATTGGATTACCTCAAAAGTACATTGTTCACGCATCCAAACAAATCCCCCCTCAAATCATATGTTAATTAATTAATTTTTTTCTTTTTGCTTCTAAGCTAATAATTTTGGCTATTTGTGTTTAGGTTGGTAATTTTAAGTTTGTTTCCTTTTGTAATGTAAGAATATTTGGACATGTGTTGAAACAGATTTTGAAATTTCTCGTATATTTTCATCTGTCAAACTAATATTTAAAACAAAGCATAAAAAATAAGATTCCATTTTCTATATCATGAAAAAATTATTAAAATATTTTATTCTTTAATTTTAGTTGAAGAGGGTATTTTATGATTAGTAGGTTTCACGACTCTGGTTGAAGATGATATTTTATCATTATTATAATTTTAGTTAAATACAAACTCTAAAAGAATATAAAAATGTTCAAAATAATTTATTTAAATAAAAATTAATGGAGAAATTTATAACGATACATTTTTATTTAATTTTCATGTCTATTTCTGTATATTTACACGAGATTAAAAATATATATAATTATCTTTTTAAAAGTAGATATAAATAATGGTATCCATAATTTTTCATTCAAAGTGCACATCGACTCATAATTCATATTGTATCAAATTACGTGTTTTTTTTTTTTTTTGAAGAGATAAACCTAAAAATAATTAAAAAGTAAAAAACACAACGCTACAATTATCTTATTCAGTACGTGTTTGATTTAGATAAAAATCAATTTTTCAGTTTAATGGAATGTGCGGATGAAAATTATAATTTCATTAAATTTTCAATTAAAATTAATTATTGATTTTAATTTAATTTTTNTTTCAATTAAAATTAATTATTGATTTTAATTTAATGTTTTAGTTAAACCAAGAGGACTGCACCAAATACAAGTAAAGAGATGTAACTTTTTTTTTTTTTTTTTCCTCTCTCTTTGAGAATTACAAGCAAATGGAAAAAGTAGTAAATGGGCTGTAATAGAAGCTTTTAAGTGGGCCCACGTTTGAAAAGAATGACCTGAAAAGAAGAAGAATCCTTCCACAAATTTTCAACAATTAGAATACGTTGAAAATATCTTTTAAAAAAGAAAACATTTTCATTGTTTTCATTTCCATTATAATTACTTTTTACAAATTTTTTCTAAACAATCTCTGCCAAACATGGTCTAATATGATATCAACGTCCAAATTATGATACAAACATAGACTCAATATGATGTCAAAATCGAATTTATGTTACTATGAAATACACTATTTATTTTATAGTGTGACGATGATCATGAAAATAAATAGTATTACTCTTTTCAACCTCACCACCAATCATCAAAATACACACTGATTACACGCACTAACCCTCAAATACAATACAGAGTCCGTTTGGTACCGATTAAAATTCAATTAAAATTGAAAATATAGTCGTTATTGGACCCCACTCGTCTTATAAAAGTCAACAATAACGATTAATTTTTCAATTTTAATTCGATTTTAATCTCTACAAACCGTCTCAGAGTCACTTTAACCGCACATGCATGTATATAAAAACTCGTGTCCCCTTATTTATTATAAATTATAATATCAGATTTTCTTTTCTTCTTTGCCAACACAATTGCATTTCTCCCTTTTCATCTCTCGCTGTATTCCTTTCTTTCACTATAAGATAATAAAGCGAAAACCATGACTGGTGACGAGGATTGGGTGGAAGCAGCCATGAGCGATGACATCATGGTGGTGGAGCTGCTGCTGCGGCTCAAACAGTCTTACCGGCTTCCGTCGGCGGCTCTTAAACCGACGGGTTTGCCATTCGAGTGGAGCGTGCGCCAACGCAGGTCTAAGCCCGTCGCAGTTGACTCCACCACGAAACAGGCTCTCAGAGATAGTCCTACAACGCCACTGTCATGGAGCGGTGCCACCTCTATCAGCGGCGGCTGTGGTGGAAGTGCTGGCACAGTTGACGCTGGCCTTGAAGAGTCCAGTCGATCTTCTGATCCAAAACTCTCTAAACCCGCGAGATCTGAGGTTTGTACACGAGAAGTATTTCATATTTCTAATTTTTCAGTTGTTAACCGTGAGTTTCAACTTTCAATGGCGTCAATGTTGGTGGGGAGTCTGTGGCTCCGCGGGGTCAGTTATTTCTCACTGTTCAGTAGCGTCTCGTGAGTCGTGTCAATACTCAATTGACAATTTGTCCATCGATGCTTCGAATTTTCGTTTGACGGAAACATCCCAACACAGTTCGGATATTTTCAGATTTACCCATTCCGGCAGTTGCATGAGCTATTGAGCTCTTTCGTAAATTCACCGATCTGATGCCAGTAATATTCTCCGCCGGCCGGAAAATGTTTTCAATGTATAAAATTGTCAGAGTGAGATGAACACAAGAAGATTGATTATAGAACGACTTGTCACTTTTTCTTGTTACCGCTTTGCTGGACCCATTATTGTTAAGATGGAAGCTACAATAACACCCCTTATCCAATGGGTAATTTGTCCATCCGTTCCTTGAAACAAAAAAAGTAGTTTAAAAGAATATTTATGCGACTCGTGTCACACATTTTGGAGTCAGTAGAAGGGTATTTTTGTCAATTCAGACGTGGAGTTGTGGATGCCCTTCTGTAAGCGGTGGCGTATCTTCACGGCAATTTGGTGAAGATTTGTTAGCGGTTGTGTGCTTAACCTCTTTTTCATAATGGCGACACAATCCAGTGTGAGCAGCTACATGTGTCTCGGCATGAGTCCACGAGGCCTACTCATCATATAATAATTAGCCGACTTTAAATTTATTAAGATTAAAGTTTATTTTGTTATTGTTTTTGCCGTGGAGCTGAAATTACCTTTCAATGCAGTGAAAGTACTGACCTTTTTTTTTAATCTTCTCTCTTTTGGGTTAAAGGATTAAAGGTTGTGTAATCTGCTGTGATTTATATGCTTGACAGTGTTGTGGCAGTTCTTTTTCTGTCAAATTTGGGTTACTTTTTACTTGTGGGTCAAGTGGATTTGGTTAGATATCAGTGTAGCATAGATTTAAATTCGAAGCGCAGTCTAACCTTTCTGTTGTTTAGAGTTTTTATTTGATGTGTTGCTGTTTATATTTTACTCTGTGGTCCATTGAATTAATATGATCGTATAAAATATTGCATCTTGCTTACCTGATTTTTTTGTTTAAAAAAGTGCGATGTCATGAGGTTTTGAAACTATGCCAAAATCTGTGACAAGCCTGTATGGCATGCAATATCATGTATTTAACTTTGTGGTACAAGTTTGAAAGGATGTGGGGTGGAGGGACCATTTTTGTCATCAATGACCATAAGTCACCAAACATGTATTCTTGCACGGTTGATGTTATTGCCACTGAAGTTCTTCTATTAGAATTTTTTCTGAGATAATTTTTTGGATTAGCTCTTAATGTACATCCATTGATACATCAACTATTCACAAGTAACATTGAACGAGATTTGCGTTGAGTGTGAGATTTTTTTTAATTTTATGCTTCAGGTTAATGGCGATGGTGAAAAATCCACGAAGAGGTCAAGAAAGAAGAAGGTGATTGTTGTTGGGCCCACTGAGCTATTTCAGTATGCATTAGTTATAAGCATGTATATAATGAAATCCTAGGTTGAGGTTTCTGACACTTCAGTAACTGGACGATGTTCGCCTTAAACCGTTAGGGATAAAATTCTAGTAGTAAAATTTACAGGATGAACAACTCTACTTCTTCTTTGGAAGCTTTGCTTTGGTGTAAGGTTTTGCATAGAAAATGTAATGAATCAATCAAAGAAAACAGAAATTGATTAGCACTTTAGTACTTAGATTCACAAATTCTTAGCAATCTACTTTGTCTTTGTTTGGTGTTGATTTGCAGACCTTGGCAGAACTTCAAGTAGAGGAGTACTTGCTTGATAAGGAAAAAGGAGAATTGAAAAGGGTATATGCTTTTTCAATGCTTATATACTAATTCATATAAATTTTCTAATTTCCTGACCTGAAATTGCACAGGAAATAGCGGCTTTACGCACAAATTTGGAGAAACAGAAAGCTACAAATGATAGTTTGAAGAGAATAAAGGTGCAATTACTTCTTCTGGTCCTTTCTTCTCTTGTCCCTTTGCATTAGATATCATTTAACAACAATAGAGGTGTTCGTAATTATGCCTCGTATCTGGTAAACGAAGAAATCAATTCTGTTGAACTTTGCTTAGTTTACCAAGACACATACCAAGTTGATGTCTTTTAGCCCCATCCGTAACTGTTATTTTCTGAAAGTGTGGCGATTGACATTGTTCTTTTGAACAGCTTGAGTCCGCTACTAAAACAAGATCAACGATCGAATCTGAGAAAGCAATTTGCTGTCAATCCCAGCAAAAGTCAGAAGCTCAATATCATATCCCTGCAATGTTCCCAACGTTTGTCTTAGGACCAAATGGGCCTTCTGAAGATAAGACAGTTGTTCCATGTGAAGCCAAGTTTGTACTTCCAGATCTGAATCTTACTGTGGAGGAAGAATCAAGCTTTTAGGTTCTTTGTGGATAGTGCATCAAATATATAACGTCTATACTTGAATATTCTGTAGCACAGATACTTCAATTAAAGTAGCATATTCGTGTCGGACACGAGTCGATACCGACACTTCTCACACACTTTACCGTAATCATTTTTCTTTTTATTTAGAAAATTATATATTGTTAATTCAAAATTATTAGTAAGTAACANTTTTTAAGAATTTAATTAACGTGTCGTGTTAGTACTTTTTTTTAAAAATTGCGTGTCGACGTATTCAACACGTATTGCATCGAATATACGTATCCGTGTCGGTGCATCATAGCTTGAATAAGTTCTGACATTGTTGTAGGATCCATTATCTTAAAGCTTTTTCTAAACGCAATGTGAATGTATCTCGTATGTGCATGTTAAAATTTTGCCAATAATTAAATGGACAACGAACGGAGCCTCGTAGAAATTTGGCTGCACATTGTTGGATAAGACTAATCGGACCAAATTTTAGCTTCTCGTATAACCATACACTGTGGAGATGGAACCAACAATCAAGGGATGAAGATATCTTGAGACAAGCAGTGAACGTTATGGAGAGAACATTTCCGTTTATATCTTCACTTAGAGAATTTAGTCAATTTACGCTTGACTTCATTTTACACCATTTCCTACAGAGGGTTGTACTACACGTACATAATAATTTATATAACGATTTAACAATCGATGATATGACGAGATTTGATTGAATCAAAATCTCATCAATTAAATAACTTACCCACTTATATTTTGATACTTCATCATTATGCAATAGTTATGTATACAAAAAAAAAAAAAGAACACTTTTCATCCAACTGTTCACTTCCGTCACATATGCATACGTAAGTCATGGTATAGCCATTTTCTATACAAATGGCTTTACCCTTTGCATTAAGAAGTGGGGTTTCAATATCTTCTATTTATGGTACCATCATCCCAAACATATGCAACACAAGGACTTCTAAATGGAATCTGTCCAAAAACCGTAAGTTGACAAAAAAATACAGTGATTAAACTTCAGTATACCGTTTTTAAGAAGAAAACAAAATGGTCTCTTCACATTTTTAATTAAAAGGAAATTAGAAAAAAGAAAAAAAAACAAAAAGGTTTTAAGGACCAGTTACAATAGTTTAAAGGGTAAGAATAACTTATAAATATAAGTGAGGATCAGCGGTGCAATTATTTCTTAATATGGTATAACATGTTTGTCAAACACGCCCTATAAGATAGAACCAGCCGACGTTCAGTATTTAGGGTTAAAAAAGATCAGAATCAGTCCAAAACGAAAGACCCTCCAACAATCCAGCCGCCACCTCCACCTCCACCTCCACCTCCATCACCACCGCCTCCCGCTGCACCCTAGTCTCGCTAGTCTTCTTCGTGGTAATCTTCATTTCCATCTCTGGCTTACAAGCAGAACCAGAATTTGCTCTTTTTTCTTCTTCCTTTTGGACTTATTATATATAATAAGAAGATAAAAAGCGTATATTGCATATCATTTAGGAGTGAAAATTTTGGGAAGGAAACTTTTAGAGACGGTAATGCATTTTTGCTTATTTAAGGTCCTGTCATCATTTTTTTTTTCGAATTTTAATTGCTGAGATTGTTTTATACCAAGAAAGAAAAAGAAAAAAAGAAAAGGGTAACTTAATTTGATAAGTGGCGGCTGGACTATTTTTCAGGCCTATTTTTTATCTTTATTTTGCTGCCCTAATGTTCAAAGAAAAAAAAAAAACAATTCCTCTTTACTGAGCTCTGCTTATTTTTTTAATTCCAAAAGATCTTCAATCTAGAATATTACTGCTTATTTTCATACATATTTAGGATCTCTGCTAGGTATCTGTATATACGCATCAATATATTTGCAATGTGAGCTGGCTTTATTGATTTATGTGAATGTTCATATTTTATTTACATGTAATAAAAAATGGGTTTACTTGGCTGTGTTGGTGTGTTGAAGGAACTTCAAATTCATGCACGAATCTTTATTCTTACCTGTCTCCTTATGTTTCATTGTTTGTGCTTACTAATTTCCTTTTTGATTTGTTAGCCCCATTGTTTTACACTAATTTTACTTTGATTCGGCTATTTTTGTTTTTGCTCTAGCATTTGGATTAAAAACCCTCTGACTGAATTGGACCCTGCCCACCCATGCTCTCACGTGTCACATGTTTTGATTGTTGGTTTTTATTTGCATTTTATTGCAACAGGTTAACTATTTCTGATTTTCCTTCTTTATTTTATATCAGTGGGATTATTGTCGGAGAAGTGCACAGGAATTCATGGCAACAGAAGATGAATCGAAGCCTCTGAATTATATACCAGAGGTGGTATTGAAGAAGAGGAGGAATAATGAGGAATGGGCAATCAGAAGAAAGCTGCAGTTAGAAGAGAGGGTCAAGCGTCTCAAGTCTGATAATTTCTTCATCAAGAAGCCTGATCAATTTATCAGAGAATACCGCGACAGAGTAATTGTTTTATGATAATTTGCCTTTTCCTCTCTCTCTCTCTCTCTATATATATATATATATATATGAACTTATTCTGCTTTTACATGAAAATGTGTACAATTTATTGGATTTTCCTCATCCGTCTTTTAACATTTCATAAATATTACGAGAGGGCTTTGACTACTAGCTGTAACATATAATTGCAAGTAAGGGTACAACTAACATTAACTAACTGATATGTGAGCGCATGCAAGAATGTAAATACAGAGTTTAGACGGATTGGAATGTTGAAGTCTATTTTCTTTATCTGGAGCTATTCTATGTCAGATGTATAAGGAAGTATAAATCTTTATGCTAAATCAATGATATTTACATATGGATTGGTGTCTAGTCTTTAAATATTTTTTATGAAGGATATTCAAATTTATTTCCGTAAACTAGTGGGAACCAATTATTTGTTGGTTTTGCTAAAATTTAATATAATTGTGAAAATCAGCTCACAATAATACACCATTATGTCAATTATATTTATATTTTGGATTTTTGCAACCCAATAACTGAGTTGAAATCTTTAGTGCATCATTTGCGGCTTGTTCTAGATTCATCTATTTGCTCAGGTTGGCTGAATATTCCATACTTGTATGAGGTTGAATTTTCTTCATGACCTATTAGATAATAGATTATTGGGGTTGGTTTCTAGTTTCTACATTAAATACCAATTTATCTATGTTGTAGCTTATGTTTGTGCCAGGAAAAGGTAAAATATGCTGCCCTGTTAGGTTAAGATTTCTGCAAAGAAAGGTATTGCTTTAGTAAGTTCAGCCAGTTCTGCATCTGCATGCACTTGTCTTGGATTTTCCTGCTGCTGTCACTATTGAGAAACTGTTATCACTAATATCTGTATAAGATTTAACCTTTAATTTTTAAGTATTATCGGTTGTTTGATCATAAGTACTGTTTATGATAGATTGAGTATTCAAAATCTTAACATGCTGTTTGTATATCCAGGAATTGGACCTCATTCAAATGAAGCAAAGAGGAAAGCGAAAAAGACAAGCATTGGAGACACAAGAATCCAGGCTCCTATTCATCATACGAATCGGAGGGTATGTTCAAAAAATGATTTTTGTTAAATTTGGTATATCTTTTGCTATTTTCTTTATTTATATCCTAAAATTTGCGGTCATTACAGAAAAAGGGATATGCACCCCAAAACTCGTAAGGTCCTGTACTCTTTGAGATTGAGGAAAACCTTCAGCGGGGTGTTTGTGAAGGCAAATGAAGCGATAACGGAACATTTGCAAAAAGTGGAACCTTACGTGACATATGGGTATGTCAAATCATTTAATATTATTATTGTTTGCTCTTTAATATAATCATTAAGCCCTTGGATTGACCTTACATTGCTTGACAGTTTGCAAGGGGGTAGTTTAGGTCAGAATAGCCTCATTAAAACTAGTCTGTGATTAAATGAATATTATAATGAACTCGACAAACAATATGGAGTTTAACATGGATTGTGCTACAAAAGGATATCACGATCTTGTAGTTCATGTCAATAGGCGTGTTTGTACTCGATCATTGGATAACATCTGAGTTTAAGAGAGAGTGTTTGACACCCATTTTAATGGGTTGAAATTTTTTGGAATAGTGATTGATGGGAGAATGTGTGGTGGAAAAGTGATGAAAAATTTTAGATTTGTGTGTAATATTATTTTATTTGAAAATTGTGTGGTTGAAATGAAAAAAGAGAATGAGAATGAGAAAAAGAATAGTTGCCAAACAGGGGCTAAGTTGCATGGTTTGGTGCCATTTTCCTTGGTGCGCTGAGGTAACACTCATGTGCGGCTACCTAGTTTCCCCTAATGCTGGCCACTCCTTTTGGAGTTTGAAACTCCATGCAAAGATGGTGACTGGATGTTACTGCTTGTAATTGTTTTAGAGCGGACCTTCCCAAGATTTAGTTATATGTAGACCTGCTGTCCACTATCAAGAAGTACATACTCCCATGGAACATTGTCGCTCCTCACCCAATTCAATTGTCAAGAGTGAGACCAAACTATCACCAGTAGATAACATTCCCATTTTAATGGTCATATGCCAAGCTTATATAATCAAATCTAGAAAGAGAATAACTAGCTGTCGTTTGAACCTTTCTATTTTTAAACAGCAACATATTTGCAACATTAGTTAAACCTGAAGACTAGATTATACAAGAAAGAGCATAACTAGCTTTCGTTTGAACCTTTCTATTTTTAAACAGCAACATATTTGCAACATTAGTTAAACCTGAAGACTAGATTTGTATAATCTGATATTGTATGTAGAATTGAATTAGCTTTATTTAGACAAGGAAACAATTTGCAGCTTTTGCCAAGCAGCTTAATATCAAGTAGAAGCCATCTTAATGGAAATTTCATCTCTACAAAATCAATCTCTTAAAAAGCTTATCTTTAAGCAGAGAGTCGAAGAATCTTTTGGCTGAAAGTATAGAGAAGTAACATAGTTGATCTGCAGTAGTAATGGCTGCCATCCTATATTTAAATGGCATGATAGATCTTTGTGGCTGCCATCCGATATTTAAATGGCATGATAGATCTTTGGTTACTGGAGTAAGATAGAATTGCCAATTGCGTGTAGATTTTTTAGCATAAGAAGATTGGACTTCAAATTATGAACTTCGGATTTCTTCCTGAAAGCCTTATCCAAATTTTATATCCTTGCATTTCACTGCAATTTTTATATGATTGAATATATGTTGTCAGCTATCATCTGTATTTTTTTTTATGCTTTATGTGCTTCAATTCTTAACATATTCATTCATATTTGTAGATATCCTAACCTCAAGAGTGTGAAGGATTTGATTTACAAGAAAGGAGTAGCAAAACTTGACGAGGGTAGGGTTCCTTTAACAGACAACAACGTAATTGAACAGGTATCTGCAATACTTTTGCACATTGTGTAGCCCGGCTCCCAGTTTCTTTGCTGCTCAAGATGCCTAAATGCATCCTGTGGTTTTGTCTTGGCAGGCATTGGGTCATCATGGCATTATGTGCATAGAAGACATCGTGAATGAAATAGCTACTGTCGGTCCACATTTTAAGAAGGTTTCCAATTTTTTGTGTCCCTTTAATCTCAACAAACCTGAAAAGGCATTGCAAGGTAAGAAACGACGATTTAAAGATGGTGGAGACTCAGGAAATCGTGAGGATCAGATCAATGAGCTGATTAGTAAGATGAATTAGTATAAGCAAATGAGTACTTTCTAAGAGATTAATGTTAACATTTACAAATTATGTAGTTGGAAGTGAAACAAGGACCTACTATGAGTTTATCTCAATTTTGGCAGTGGCTTTTCAGTTTGTAGTAAGTTTATTACAGTTGGGATATTGTACTACTTTTGAAATAGCATGAGTGATGAGCCTGTTACTTTCCCAGTTTCATGTTATCAATATTTAATACTTATAAGAACAAGGATGTTTCTTCGTGTTTTTATGGCACTTCAATCTCTTTTCTTTGCTTCGATTTCATGTAGTGTGCATGTAGTGTGCCTGCCTGGATGTATAGTTTTTATCATAATTGAAGTATTTTTTGTTTCTCCTCTCGTCCTTCTCCTGTTTGGAAAATGGGAGTTCAGCCAAAGGTGCGTTTCTTTATGTGGCAGCAGCTATATGACAATGCTATTCCAACCAGAGCCTCTCTCGCTAGGCTGGGAACTGAGTTTAGTACACAATGTCGACCGTGAGGGAGAAAAGTGAATGCTGTACATGTAATTTCCGAATGTGGTCAAAGTTGGTATGGAAATCTCATGGAGCGTAGTCGAGTGAGGTTTGTTGTAGGGGATTGATGACTCTTCGCTTAGCTTCTTTCATTGCGTTGAGACAAGGGATTTTGAGATTATTGGCTGTATGATGTGGCTGATCTGGGACAGTCGAAACAGGGTGAACATGATTGAGAAAATCTACCTAATGCAATGCCCGCCACCAGGTAGTGCAAGCGTTATCTGATGTCTGCTCTCTGTTTGTCTATGCTTTAGTTTTAATTGATACCATCTCTCTAATAAACGAAGTTGGTTGTGGTGCTTGTCACACCATGCAAGTGGCACATAAACTTGCTTAGTTGACTATTAATTCTTCTCTGACTGATTGCTTTTTAAAAAATATATAACTTTTTTAATTTGAATTACTCCTTTTTATCCTTTTTTTTTTTACTATTTCTGAAATAGAAATAGACAGTTTTCTCAAATAAATAAATAAACCGTGAATTTTTTAATTTTTTTTTGGGTGATATATTGGAACCAAAATTTTCTTGGTTCGACCTTTTACTTCTTGTGATATTTACACTTTCAATTTTTATTCTCAATTTTTCATTAATTAGTACATTTGATGATGATTTTCATTTAAATATTTTGTTAAGAGTGCGTAATTAATAGTCGTCTAAAAAGACCTTGATGATGGTTTCCGTCGACGATACAAGTACAATGCTTTTCTTCATAATTTTTCAACCCGACAATTAAAATTTGAATATAATTCTTAAAAATTAACCAATCATCAGTATAGAATTAAATATCGGAAGACAAAAGTCCTTAAGAAAAAAAGGAAAACAGATACAAAAAATAGAAAGCAAATATGCATGGGGAGGCCTGATGTGGAGGCAGATTTGGGAATAGACCGAATAGTTGAATGGGCAATTTTCTCAAAGAGGAAATTACACCTAAACCTAAAATTAGATTTTCAATTTCATAAATAAGGTCAACATTTTTGACATTTCAAAAATCAGATTTTAATTAGTAATTTAAAACATTTTTTTATTTTTATTTTTATATCTATATACAATAAAATAATTTGACCCAAACAAACCCTAAATCATTTGAACCAATTCTTCCCCTCCACCTTCTCTTCTCCCACCGCCTCCATTTTTCTCCACTCTCTCCACAACGCCACCTCCTCCAACCACCACGGAAAAGGTGTACCAACGGTGCCAACTTCAAACCCACGCAATCGCTGGTTACCATGTCTTCTTCCGAACCGTCGGAACCGCTGTCCCTAACCTCCATTGGTCTCTACAATACCGTCGTCTCCTCCCTCTTCCTCTCCCTCTCCCTGCTACCGCAATCGCCACCATCTCATCCCCTCATTCCTCCTTCCCTCCCTCCCCCCACTCTAAACTCATCCCCAAAACCAGGTTTATAGTCGATGGTTTCAAACACTCCGATTCCAATTTCTCCGTTTCATACTTTCTCTCCC